AGTCTTGTCAACAAGCCCTTGGTTGGGTGTGGGTGACTTCAACATAATCTTGGATCCTCAAGAGAAAGAGGGAGGTAGAAGTTTTAGCCCTTCATATTTTAGGGAAAATTATGAGATCATAAAAAAATATGGTTTATCTGAGCTTCCAAGTCACGGGTGCAAATTCACTTGGACAAATAAAAGAATGGGAGAGGATAATATCAGAGCCCGATTTGACAGAGCTTTTTAAAATCAGAAATGGTTGGACTTATTTGAAGCCTCCCATACAAAAGTTCTTGTCTCTCTAGAATTTGACCACATCCCAATCCTCTTTAATAATGAAACCAATCTAAGATGAAAGAAAAGATCTTTTAGAATGGAAGAAATGTGGTTCTTCCATTAAAATTTTGAGGAAATTATGAAAAATTGTTGGATAAAGAACCAAAATGTTGGTCCTTAAACTCAACTGTCTAGCAAATTAAATAACCTTCAAACTACTTTAAAGAAATGGAATACAAAGGTTTTTGGTAATGTTTAGAGGAATATAGCTTCCATTAAAAATAAAATTGAAGTGGAGTAGGAGAAAGGAGAGCACCAACCAAACCCAAGTTTAAAAACCATAGAGGCAAAGCTAGAAGTGTGGTTAAAAAGGGGGGAACATATGTGGGCTAAAAAATCAAGAGTCAATTGACTTCCACACGGAGACATGAATACAAATTTTTTTCATGTAACAACTCAGAGGAGAAGATGCAAAAATAGAATTCTAAAATTGGAAAAGGAACTAGGAGTTTGGGTAGATACTAAAGAACAAATTGAAGAAATCGTGTTTCTACACTTTGATGGCCTGTTCTAAACTTCAAATCCGAGAGTTTCTAAAGATCTGTTAAGTTGTATTGGGAAAAAGATATAAGAAGAAGAAAGTCAATGGTTAGAGAGAGAGAAGTAGAAGAAGAGGAAATTAAGATTGTTTTGTTCTAGATGGTTCCCTTGAAGGCTCTAGGGCCAGATGGCTTCCAAAATAGCTTATTCCAAAGGTACTGGAATATAGTGGGTCAGGATCTATCTAAGGTTGTTTTAGATTTCTTCAACCAAAATTTGATTGTTAACCAAATATACATTGCACTAATTCCAAAAGTCAAAAAACCCTTCTAATGCTTCCCAGTTCCGCCCTATCAGCCTTTGCAACACTATCTACAGGGTTATAGCAAAAGTGTTGGTGAATGGGTTCAAGCCTTTACTCCATAAAGTTGTGAGTGAAAATTCGAGTGCTTTCATTGCAGTAAGATTAATCCAAGATAATATCCTTCTAGCCCATGAAATGATAGATTTCATGAAAAAAATAAAACTAAAGGAAAAAAAGACTTGGATGGTTCTAAAGCTAGATGAGTAAGGCATACGATAGGGTGGAATGGGTTTTCCTTTAGAAAGTCATGGGTAAAATGGGGTTTGGAAAAAATGGATAGATTGGATAATGTCCTACATCACAACTATATCCTATCAAATTCTCATAAATGGAGCCCTGTAGAAGACTATTTGGCCTGAGAGAGGAATAAGACAAGGAGATCCTCTATCTCCTTATCTTTTTCTCTTTTACTTTAAAGCATTATCAGCCTATCTTCAAAGTCTTGTCTCCCAACAAAAACTCTTTGGAATAAAGTTAAATAGAGATTGCCCTATGATTTCTCATATTTTCTTTGCAGATGAGAGTTATTTTTTTACAAGGGTTGTCCTAGATGAAGGTTAGAGGATTGTGGATGCAATCAATCTCTATGAGAAGTCTTCTGGTCAACAGGTAAATCTCCTTTAGTAAAAACCTTCACCCGAGATTACAAAAATGCTAGTAAAGAGTTTGGGTATTAAAAAAGTGAACCAGCCTAGCATTTATCTTGGTCTCCCCACATTTATAAGCAGAACCAAAAAAGGGTTGTTCCATTATCTTTTAAGTAGAATAAATAGTAAAACTTCAAACTAGTATGACTTGTTGCTTTCAAGTGCTGGCAAAGAGGTTCTCCTAAAGTCTGTCATAGTTGTAATTCTTTTCTTATGCTATGTCTTGTTTCCTCCTCCCAAAATCTATCTGTGATGAAATGGCTAAATTTCAGAGAAAGTTTTGGTGGGGTGTTGATGGAACAAAGAAGAATGTTCATTGGGTTAATTGGGAAACAATAGTAAAAACAAGAACGATGGAGGTTTGGGTTTTAGAGACCCTCATAAATTCAATCTAGCTCTTCTTGCTAAATAGACATGGAGACTTTGTGTGGAAGAGAATAACCTTTGAGCTAGGGTTATAAAGTCAAAGTATTTAAAGGGCAAAGATTTCCTAAATGACAATCTTCTAAAACAGAGATCATGGAGATGACAAAGTTTGCTTGTGGGCAGGGAGATTTTTAAGCTTGGGGCTTGTTGGGATGTAAACTCAGGTTCGAGAGTTAAAATCTGGACAAATCCTTGGATTGAGGACTTTCCTCTTTTTAGAATAATGGGTATGGAACTAAGGACAAATGTTCCTAGTAGGTTAGTGATTTAATTGATGAGAACAGAAGATGTTGGAAAGAAAATGTAATAAATGATGCTTTCCTGGAGAGGTAGTAGACAAGATCCTTAGAATTCCTTTAGCTCAGGGAACTAGGAAGATAAACTAATTTGGAAAGGTAACTCTTCGAATATTTTCACTATAAAATATGCTTACTATATAGCTAAGCAAATTCCCCTCAAGCAATCCTCTATTTTAGATTTTGTCTAGCATAAACCCCACAACAAAATCTAGAAGGAAATCTAGAAATTGAAATGTGATTCAAAAATCAAGATTTTCCTATAGAGGTGCTGTTGGAATAGCCTTCCAACAGCACCTYGGAAAAAGAGGATTCTCGAACTCTTCTATTTGTAAAATATGTGGGATAGAATCAAAATAGATTATGCATGCCCTCTTCCAATGTGATCATGCAAAACTAACTTGGTTTGGATCTTTGTTTTGTTATGATACTTGTTGTACAATTCTATTTGCTTCTTTTCTAGACTGGTTTAAATTGTGGCAAAGCAGATGCTCTTCTTCAAAGGAAAGAAAATAAGATTTACTTGGCTTTTTAGCTTTTATGCTTTGGAATATTTAGAGGGCTAGGAACATATGCATTTTTAAAGATCTAAAGTTATACTCTAATAAGACTCTTTATTCTTATAACAGATCTTGGATAGAGAGGAGGAAGATTTTGCAGCCAAAATGGCAAAATTCTTCACTTCCTAACCCAGAGGCCAAGCAAAGAGGTTTTTTGGAAAGCTCCTAAGGAAAAGTTTTTGAAACTCAACACAGATGGTAGTTTTACAAAGGCAAGTCGGGCAGGTTTTGAAGCCATTATCAAGAATATGGGCCAAGTTTTTGTTGTTTCCTATGTCCCCTGTATAAGCTCAACCCCATTTCAAGCTAAAGTTATAGCATGCGTAAAGGAAATTTCTCTTGCTAAGAACTATATCTCTTGCCTTATCATTTTGGAAAGCGACAACCAAACTCTAAACCAGGTCCTCAGGATCTGAATTTAACTAAGGAAGCTTATTTTTTTGTGTAAGGACTTGTTAAGTATTTGCGAGGATGTAATTTCTGATTTTGTTTTTGCAAGCAGGAACTGTAATACTCTAGCTCATAAGCTAGCTTGTAAAGGTATTAAAGGTGAGGGGTCTTTCAACGGAGCCATGCCTATGTGGCTGGCAAAGTGGATTGTGCCCCCTAATCAGGCTTATGCTTCCTCCTCTGCTTGAATGAAAAGTAATTTATCTATTACAAAAAAAAAAAAATAAATGAGCAACCAAATTAACAATCCTCCTATCCACAAGAAAGAATTAGATTGGAGTAATTGCATAAATAGATTGGGTAAAACCTATACGGCTCTGAGTCTGCATCTACTCCTCACAGAGCACGCCTCACGCTGACCTCATAGCCTCTATTGGCCACACATCGAAAACACCTCCCGTACTTTGTCTATTATTCATGGGAGATGTTCCCAATACAAGGTGGGATGTGGCTATGAGGAGCACTCTATGAGGAGTATATTCCAATTCCTTGTTTCTATCCAAGAAAAGAATAACCAGTGATGGTGGAGTTTGTATCTACTCCTCACAAAGCACATCGAGAACATCTCATGTATTTGTACTTATTATTCATGGGGAGATGTGCCCAATATAAGGTGGGATGTGGCTGTGAGATTGGTGTGAGGTGCACTATGTGGGGAGTAGATCCCAATTCGTGATAGTGTGGATATGGAGTTCACCTTGGTCATTGGATTCTCGAAATCCTACATGGGGTAGAGATCTATTACCAACAAAAAACACTCCCAACATATTGGTTGTAAGGGAGATTAGGTATGTATTTGGTATAGCTTTCGTTTATTAAATAAACATTTGTATTTGATTTGTTTTCAATACCGAGAAAAGTATTTGATAAATTGTTTATTGACAATTAGGCACCATATCAATGGTTGAATGAATAAACGCGCAACCATTGGGGAAAGCATTAAAATGAAGCTTCCCCCAACAATTGGTTTGCATATATAAATCAAAACCCACTTTTGTGAATATCAGTGCGTAGGGATGAACATGATGATAATGGTTGAATGAATAAACACTCAACCATTGGGAAAAGCGTTAAAATAAAGCTTCTCCCAACAATTGATTTGCATAAATTAAAATCTACTTTTGTAAATATTAATACGTGGAAATAAATAGGATAAAAAAAATGTTAATTTAATGATGACATTACAATATTTATCACGATATATCCACAAAACAAAATATATCCTAAATTGGCACCCTACAAACACCCCACATCACTATCCATCCGTGTATTGAAATGGGAGATGTTATAAATACATGTGTGGACAATGTGGGGCCAATCTGATCTCGTTGTAGGGGTTGTTAGGAAGAGATCTGGACTCTTTCCTTTCTATTCAAATTCATAAATAAAGCTAATCTAACGGCTTCGAAAGTCCGTACAGTGTCATGTTATAGATCTGTATTTATGCTATCAGATTCCCAGCTCCACGCTCGGTCGCACCCACAAGACGTCAAGGCGTCGAAGGACAGAGGCCAAAACGCAAGGGGAATAGAGAATTTAGCTCAGCTCTGCTAGAGAGTGCTGTGTGCAGGCTGCAGAGTGAGTTTACTTCACAACGAGCTTCGTCAAAGCACAGAACAGGAGAAAAGAAAAATGATGGATGAGGCTAAGAGAGGGGCTGGCTTCCTTAAGCCATCTTCCGATGAGAAGTCGCCGGCGGCATCTCCCTTGGGTGCTCCCAAGAAAATCATCATCAAGAGTGCGGACATGAAGGAAGACATGCAGTATGGGGCTGCCAAGAAGGTCGTCGTCAAGAGTGCGGACATGAAGGAAGACATGCAGAAGGAAGCGATCGAATGTGCTTTCACTGTTAGCTCTCCCACCCTGTTCTAGAACCTTCTCATTCTTCCCATTTTATTTTAGACATTACATCAATTTTGTTCTGTCTTGGGTTCTGCAGATCATTTCGGTTCTGATCTTTTGTGGAAATTTGATTGATTAGGCTTTTGAGAAGCACAGTATCGAGAAGGACATTGCAGAGCACATCAAGAAGGAGTTCGACAAAAAGCATGGACCCACCTGGCATTGTATCGTTGGTCGCAATTTTGGTAACCCCTTATATCAATCTATCTATCTCTGGGTATCAGCAACTAAGTTATGTTGTTCTCTTGCTTGAATAAGCCCTTGTGTCTCCTTTGGTTCCTATGGTACTTGGTAAACTTTCTTGTAATCACTCGAATAATGAACAAATCCATAATCCTCTTCTTTAGTTTATGCTGTGCAGCAGTACATCATTTGTGTAGTTTGTGGCGTAGCGACGAGCTTGATGGTAATCTTGGGTTTTCTTGGGTTTAGTCTTTTATTAAATTTCCCGCAGTTGCTAACTTCCTTGGAGAAGAAAAAGAATAGAGAAAGGAGAAGAAAGAGATACCTGCATTTTTTTTCTCTAACTTCCAAGAAAGTACAAGAAGAAGAATATCACTTTTGGTATGTGTTTGGGTGTATACGCGCGGTGCTTCTTGTTCTCTATCCATGAACATGGGCATTCCACGGAAGATGAGAAAAAAAGGAGATAATGAAATTTAAGGTATACTTTTTGTTTCAACTGAAGATCTGTATTCAGTTGAGTCTATATTTCATAGTCCTGAACAGAAGGAATGGCTGAACAGGACTCATGTAGCCAACCCCATATAGTTGAAGCAAGCTTTAGTTGGTGATGATGACTATGACTTAATGATTCCCTAAGCCAGTGTACAGTATAATGGTACATATCTTAGAGTACAAGACATCTACACAACATCCAGAATTTTGAAGCCTTTCAGACCAAGATGTAGGCTCATTGAACTGCCTTTGGGCTGGTTGGTAGGCTGGTGCTGGATATCTTATTTTCCCTTTTTATGGGCTTCCTTAGAGTTCTAGGGTCTGATCTCATCCCCTTAAAATTTGGTTACATAAAAAGGAGTAGATATCTTGTCTTCATTTACTTTTCCTTCATGGCATTCGAAGGACATGAAGGTTTCTCACCAGCCGGTAAGTGGAGAGAAGTGTTGAGAATAGAACGAAAGGAACTGTTGCTGGAGAAGACTTTTTACCAAAAGGAGCTTTAAATGAGGTTGCTGCTGTAGATGGAAGCTTTAAACTGAAGCTGCTGGTTTTACCCTTTCATCTCTGGCAAAAATCAACCTTGGAGAATCTGGTGCAGGTGATGGGCGGTGTTCTTCTGTCCTATAAGACCACAGATTTGAGGGCAGCACACTTGAGAGTTGCTGGAATGAAGCCTGAGGAAGTTCCAAGGGTAGTGCAAATATGTGCAGAAGGCTATTGGTATAAAGTCTGGGCGAGTTCGGAAGTTGAAATGTTGCAGTGGCTGGGGAGGTCGAAGCTTGAGGGAGATGATGATGTGGCAAGATGGGTTACAGTTGGCAGGTTTGAGCAAAGGAAGTCTGGACATGTGGCAGCCACTGGAGTGAAGGTTTCTCTGAATGAGGAAGCTGAAAAGTCGAAGGCCAAAAGCAAAGAGGCATTTGTGGAAAAGTTTTCAAATATGTTTGAAAACCAAAACAACTCTACCGTTGTTTTGTCCTATGCGGACTTGGTCAAAGGGGTAACCAGGTCAGACCAGGGAGGGGGGGTTTGGCCCAAGACTAAGTTCGAGCTACACACCACACTCTTAGAACCAACTGGTCCATTTCCGGGTCGGGTGGTTCTCACCGAGCTTAAGGGCCACAATCAGCTTTTGGACTCATGTGAGTGGTCACGTGAGTCGAATCTCTACTCAGCCGTTGATAGACAAGAATATGGGTCTATCTTCTTCTTCATGTGGCTCAACCCCTGGGAACCGAATTTTTTCTTCAAGCAACCAGAGCTTATTGAAGAGGAAGCTAGGCTGGTTACCGGTGACAAAACATAGAGAAGGCAACTAGGACGGATCAGAATGAGAAAGGCCAAACCCGAGGTACTCTAGGGGGAGTAAAGAAGACTGTGAAGACGAGGACGGCGGATGGGTAAGTTGCGACAGTTCAGAGGAGATGTCAGACTCAAATGTTGAAGCTGAACTTCAGTGTGAAGATCATCAAGGAGAGTTGGAAGATGCCCTGAATACTGATATCCTTTCTCAAAGCATGTCATAGAGGATCCTTTCTTGCATAAATCCTCCACTAGGTGCGGAGGGCTGAATGTTGTCGAGCATTCCTTAGAAGATGAGGGGGAAAATCTAACACCAAGTAAGGGAGAACCAAACCAGGTGAGTAACTTAAGACAAGGGACCTGCAAGAGGACTTCGGCTGCTCATCATAATTCGAGCAGAGACGGCACAAACGGGGATGAATGACAGAGCCTTGGAGGTACGAACAAGGGTGAAGTTAGCCTAGGTGCCGGCCAGATAAGCCCTACACGAAGAGTGAATGGATTTATCCAATTGGATGTCTCTTCTCCTTCTCCTTCAGTCCCAGGTATGGCCGTGGTTTCGATTTTAGATATTAATGTTTGCTTTGCCTGTGATGTTTGTCTTTCAGATCCCAGTCGTGCCCCTTTGTTGAATACCCAAGGTTCAGAGCTAATACTGAGGAGGTTGGGGAGTTATAGGAGGGGGCTGAGAAGGTGGGGAGGGTGGGGAGAGCAGATCCAAATGAATTAACCAAAGGGGAAACTAAAGAGGACAATGGTAAGATGGAGAAGGAGGGGAATAGGAGGAGTGAGGTAAGGGGGAAAAGGAAGAGAAGGGAGAGGAAGAAGTGGAGTCATTAGCTGAATTTGTAGAAAAGTTAGGTTGTAAGGTGAGAAACCTAAATGAGCTGAAAAGGTATTTACGGGCTGAAAAAGATGGTGGGAATAGGAGGAAGAGAAGGCTAGGCGAAGCTGAGAAATTAAAGTTGGAAGTGGACGTGAGCACAGAGGCTAGAGTGAGGAAAGGGAGGGGAAGAAAAGGAAGCTACTAGAAGGAAAGGGAGTGGGGCTAGGCAGAGTTGTGGAAGGAATGAAGATTATAAGCTGGAATGTGAGAGGATTGGGGGGTGTAAGAAAAAGAGCCTTAATAAAGGGAGTTTTAAATAAAGAAAATCCAGACATTGTTTTAAATCAGGAATCTAAACTTATGACTTTTGACAAAAGGTGGGCTAGAAGTGTGTGGAGAGTGAATGGACTGAGGTGGGTTATGAGCCCCTCCTGGGGCTCATCTGGAGGGTTACTTATTTTGTGGAAGGATGAAGTAGTGGAGGGAGTGGAAGAATTAGTGGGAAGGTTCTCAATTTCTGTCAAATTTAAGCARGTGTCAGATGGATTTGAGTGGGTCCTTACCAATGTTTATGGTCCCAATGATTACAAACAAAGGAAGGAGCTTTGGGAGGAACTGGGAGATATTAGAGGTCTGTGGGAGGGGCCGTGGTGTGTGGGAGGGGATTTCAATGTGATAAGKTTCATTGAAGAGAGCAATAAGGTGAGACAAAGGAGCACTACCAGTATGAGGAAGTTCAATGAGTTCATTAATGCTTTTGAGTTAAAAAGGAATTGAACCTTTCTCATAATAGCTTCACTTGGTCTAATCTCCAAGCTGAACCTATCTGCTCCAAATTAGGTAGGTTCTTGTTCACCACAGACTGGGAGGAGCATTGGGGAGATCTGGTGTCAAGGGCTCTACCCAGAGTTACTTCTGATCATTGGCCAATAATGATTGGTAAGTCTAATATTGGTGGTAGTGGGCCCTCTCCCTTCAGGTTTGAAAATATGTGGCTACTTCACCCGGAWTTCAAAGACAAAGTGAAAACTTGGTGGAATGAAAGTAACYYGAAAGYCAATTGGGAAGGGATGAAATTCCATTGGAAGTTGAAAGAGCTCAAGGTCAAAATTAAGGAATGGAATTCTCTCCACTTTGGTAGGCTAGAAGAGAAGAAGCAACAGTTGATAAGTAAAATAAAGGAGTTAGATGCTAAGGAAGAAAGAGGATGTTTTGGGGGCCGAGATAAAGAAATGAGGTGGGCGTTAAAGAAAAGCCTAGAGGACTCAAGGAGGGGCTAAGCAAGGGGTAAATAGGGAAGAATTATTTTGGGCTCAGTTGTGATTATTGTTTTTCTTTCCTAGTTTACTTGTAAGACTCAGGGAGGGGCTGCAGCTCGTCCCTCTCGTTGGGATGATGTATGAACTCACTCTAAAGTTGCTTCTGAATCAATAAACTTATTATTATTCATAAAAAAAAGCCTGGAGGACATAATCTTCAAAGAAGAAGTAAGTTGGAGACAGAAATCTAGACACAAATGGGTGAAGGAAGGAGATAAGTATACAAAATTTTTCCATGCAATAGCCAATGGCAGAAGAAAGAAGAACACCATATCTAAGATGGTTGTTGATGGGACAGTTTTAACACAATAGCAAGAGATTGCCGGGGCTTTTGTGAAACACTTTAAATCCTTCTTTAGAAAGCCTTTGCAGAAGAGATTAAGGATTGAAGAGTTGGATTGGCCTAAGCTCCCTAATGAGTTGATATTGTGGATGGAAAGAGAGTTTGACTTGTAAGAAATCAGAGAAGCCATTTTCTCTATGGATAGATCCAAAGCCCTGGGCCCTGATGGCTTCACGATGGCCTTTTATCATGATTGTTGGGAGATAATTAAGGCTGACATTCAAATAGTGTTCTTGGAATTCTTTGAAAGAGGTGTGATAAACCCAGGCCTAAATTCTACTTTTATTGCTTTAATACCGAAGAAGGTTGGGGCTTCTCATCCTAAAGAGTTCAGACCCATCAGTTTGGTTAACAGCCTCTACAAAATCATTGCTAAGGTGTTATCCAGAAGAATTAGAGAGGTGCTCCCCTCGATCATTTCCCATAACCAAGGTGCCTTCGTGACGAATAGACAAATTGTGGACCAAATCTTAATTGCAAATGAGAGTGTGGAAGACTACAGAAGTAGAGGTGAGAAAGGGCTAGTGTGTAAGTTGGACTTTGAAGAAGGCATATGATCTGGTTGATTGGTCTCTATTGTTGGAAGTGCTAGAGTCTTGTGGTTTTGGGCAGAGGTGGTGCAAGTGGATTAAAGGGTGCATTAGGACTTGCCATTATTCTGTGTAAGTAAATGGCAAGGTGGTGGATCACTTTCCAGCTATGCGGGGTATTAGGCAAGGGGATCCTCTCTCCCCTTTTCTCTTTACCCTAATTGCTGAAGTGCTAGGGAGGCTTATTGAGAGGGCAGACTCCTGAAATCTAATAAGTGGTTGGAGAGTGGGGAGGGATAGGGTTCCGGTCACTCACCTACAATTTGCAGATGACACAATTCTGTTTTGTGATGGAGAGGAGATTAGCTGGGTGTGCAATATGAAGATGGCGATTAGGGTTTTTGAACAAATGACCAACCTCAAGGTAAATCTAGGTAAGAGTTGTGTGATTGGTATTAATATGAGTGAGGGAGAGGTGGAGGAAAGGGCTCGAGTGTTGGGATGTGAGATAGCTCATTGGCCACTGAAGTACTTAGGGCTTCCTTTGGGAGACAATCCCAGAAAAAGGAGCTTTTGGAATCCGGTGATTGACAGGTTCACTAAAAGGCTAGCTTCCTAGAAGAAGAACTATTTATCTCTGGGAGGCAAGATAACACTGATTAAGTCAACTTTGGCAAACCTTCCAGTATATTTCTTGTCGGTGTTCAGAATCCCAGAAGGAGTTTGTAGGGAGTTGGAAAAATTAATGAGGGACTTTTTATGGGAACCTTGGGGAGGAGAGAAAGGACCATAGAGTTAGGTGGGATCTAGTTATAAGACCTAAACGTGAAGGGGGACTGGGGTTGGGAAATCTGCGGAAGAAGAATGAAGCTCTTTTAGGGAAATGGTTATGGAGATGGTCCAAAGAATAAGAAAATTTGTGGGCTAAAATAACCCTAAGTATTCATGGGCAAGAGGCAGATGGCTGGGATCCTGGACTATCATCTAGGGCTTCAAGAGCCTCCCCTTGGAAGTCGATTCATGCTGTCCTACAGTCTTTTATTCCATTTATCAGGTACGATCTTGGTTCTAGTTTGTTTGTACTTTTTTGGGAACACACTTGGGTGGGGGATTTTCCCTTGAAAGAGCAGTTTCCCTCTTTGTTTGCTCTGTTTAGGTTTAAAAATGAACCAGTAGCAACATTTGCTAACTTGTCTAATTCCGCTACTGGTTGGAACTTGGGTCTCAGAAGGGCTCTCAGAGATACTGAGTTGGAACCCATTTCGAATCTGCTTAAAATCTTGGATGAAGTAGTCCTTGAACCTTCCATTGTGGACTCCAGGGTGTGGTTTCTTGTTCCCTCGGGTATCTTCTCCTGCTCCTCCTTCTTCAAAGCATTGACACAGTCTAGTCCGGTACCTGGGCCTCCTTTTCCAGTTCGGGAAGTTTGGGGTAGTCCCATCCCTCTTAGGGTAGGTGCTTTTTGCTGGGAAGCAATCCTAGAAAAGTGTAACACTTGTGACCTACTTCAAAAGAAAAGGCCTAATTGGTGTTTATCCCCACACTGGTGCATCTTATGTAAGAAGAATGGTGAAAGCTGCTATCACTTGTTTGTCTCTTGCCCTTTTGTTTCAGATATTTGGTGTTG